AATAGTATCCAGCGTTCGTTTATCACTGAACGTCTATAGGCGTCAAAGGGTTAAAACTAACGCGTCTCGTCGCAGCTTCGCGAAAATAGTCTGTTCCCTGAGCTTTTATCAAACGCCCGTGATCCTACATTAACAGCTCACCTGATGCGAGTCGTCCTCGCTTCCAAGGAACCAAGTAGGTCTGCTGGAAGCTTCGGCCTTCTTCACAGCGTTCTGGTTGTTCCAATCTATCCTAGCCGTGAGATCGGTCGCCGTGCTCCTAGATCCGTGAAGTGAAACGCTTCTAGTGACACCGGCTGGTGTCTCCTCCAGCTCACCGAGAGATCCACCACTGCTGCCATGCAACGTGCTGTCAGATTTTGGACTCTCAGGTATTGCGGCCAGCTCGGACTCCGTATCATCCGCATTGATCGAGTAGCTTTGCAGAGCATTCACAATAGCGGAAATTGTAACAAGCAGCTACCGGTGTAAGCACAGGCACAGGTGTGTGTGTCATCGTGTTAACTGGGTCCTGGATCTTTCTCAACTATGTACATATTCTGAAGAATCTATCTATCTCTAGCTCTAAACTCTTCTATTTCGACTAGTTTCATTCAAGTAGAGAGATCTGTCTGATAGTTCTGATCGTTCTCAATTATATATATATATACACTGTCCGGTTGTATATAACTGTATTGGTCTATTCATGCCTAGCATGGTATGAGGGAAATGACAGAGGAGGTATCGTTTAAGTTCCCATGGTCTTGAGTCGTGTCGTGAGAATGGCTCGTCTATAATTCGCTATAGAAGAATCTAACGATCACTCACACCTTCGTCACGGTTTATTCTAAAATGGAACGATGAAGAAGTATGGAGAAGAAGGGAAAAAAAAGTGCAAAACTCGCAATACACGTTCATACGTGAAACATTCCAAGCCGAGAGTAGCCTAGTGCTCTACCTTCCCACGGGGGATCTATGGTATCTTCTAGGATGCAGTGTAACTTAGTATAGATCGAACGACCTGGAATGCTTGTTGGTGTATCGGCAAGTGGCTGTCCCTTCCTCCCAGTGAGTCTCCATTTGCCCGTGAGTCGGTCCTGGGCTGCGTTGATGCACAGAAACCATGGGATGCCTTACCGGAGGACTCTCCGCGTTCATGTCTCCTATGGCGCTGGCCATCAGCTCGTGTTCCACGCCCAGAGACGGCTGTGACACGTCTGAGATTCGACGGAAGCTTCGGTACACCTCGAATTCGTCGTAAAAATGATCAATTATTCGAAAAATTTTACCGCGAGATCGAGAGGGCGGTCCACCCATCACAACAGTCGCTGGGATCCTCTTGCATTGATGGTGTTGGGTGTCCAGCGTGTTCAGCACTATTTTTATCAACACTTGCAATTGGTTGCACCATGGTTGCTGTCCGTACTGGCACTAGACAACATTTCTAACTGATATAGTTGAAATTGAGGGAAGAGAGAGCTTCGAGAAGTGATAAAATCACCTTGTACAGAATGACGAGAAGAGACATGAGCCAGGATCGTCTGTTGTGAGGTTCCAAGTACCAAAGGCTGTACGTCGGTGTTGGATGATCGGACGGAGGCAAGCCTTGCGGTGGACAGGGACAGTGTTGAAGGATTGTTAGCACTGGAGGTGTCATCACCCATCCCATTACGTGGTTCTGGTCGAGAAGTTGGGGGAGATTCGCGATGAAGACGTTGAACACAGGGGAAACTCTGAGAGAAAGTATCGACGTTGATTCGTCGATTTCAAATTTAACAATGAGTAATTGGCTCAGGATTTTTGTAAATTTCATACCGTAATCGTTGAGGAGAAGTATGGAAGGTTCGTTCGGTCTGGTTGTAGCCTAACAGCAGATACAAATGGCGCAACACGATTCCTTGAGTCTTCGACAGAGGTTTCTCGTCGGTTGGATAGGCCTTTGTGTATTAATACTTTTTATCAATAACGAAGATCGTTAAACGAACAATCTCGAGTGAGTTTGATACTTTACCTGGTCCTGTCTGGAAAGAAACTGCATCAGAAGGAAGACCAGCAAGTGCATGGTCTCTTTGTCAGCTTCCTCCAGATCTACGATTTTGTGAGTGTACCCTGGCAACGCACTGGTTTCGTCCACCATATTCAACGAATGAACATGCCCATCTGTAACGTAGAGCAATATTAACCTCGATCCTTGAATCATTCTTAAAAGGATTTAGATAAAATGAACGAAAATGGAAGAAAATCTTACCGTCATAGCTTGCACTTAAGAAATTCGAATTTTACGTTTGATCATTAGCAATCATGCACGAGCAAAGCGTCCACTTGATATCTAAACAAATTTACTCCAGGGGATCGTCTACGAAAACGTGAACAACTATCGGGACCATTACAAATCTACAGGATGCAGAGTAAGGAGATCTACTGAAAAAAACTACGTACAAAAAGAAAGGACAATTCCCAGTTTCTAAAATCACGCTCAAAACAAGGGGAAACGAAATTCATCGGAATCATAGAAAATTCCTCTTTCCTCCTAATCAAACTCATAACACTGAAAGCAGCGTACACGTAGAGAAATCAAATTGCCATGAAACGAACGTGTTTATTTGTTCCTCCGTAAAAAAACAAACGATATCTTCAATATCCATTTATCTGACACTAGCAATGAAAACATTTAAAGCTCTTTCGAAAGATGCTAATGAACCGTCTGACTTACCGCGCAGGTTCCACACATCGAACATCCCCGAACATTATCGCGTGTACACACAGATGGGGGGAATATGGGTGTATATGTGTGTGTGTATTTCTCTTTTTCTTTTCTTTTTTTTTTTCTTTTAAATTTTGGGAACATAGATAACACAGAAGGGAAACGGCCACGTCTAAGGCTAGCATCAGCAACGCTACACTACCTGGTATACTGTTATTAGGTGGGGTGGACCCCAGCAACTGACCCAGTCCGAATCTGGAGCTCTTGCGCTTCAGGATAGGCGCCGAGTATTGCCGGCTGTACACCTTCTCCTTTTCTACGCGTTTCGACACGGTGGAACACAAGTGAGAAACACGTGTAACTGGTCGAAGCGTGAAGTTTCGATAGACTAAGTCTCTCTCTCTCGGTCTAAGTACTAATACGGTGTCGTAATCGTGAGAAAAATTCAGGGACTCCTGTTTCGTAGCGGAGATCCTTCGTTAACCCTTTCGATACGGCTTTGGCCACTGTGCCACAGTTTTAGCGCGAAAAGGATATCGGTGAACTTTTGCGAATTTATAAATTGAACTTTAAATTTTGAAGGAACAACGTTGACGAATTGGCGGGAAGAAGTTGTACTTTAATACGTTTTATACCGGGTGCCCCGTAACTCCTCGAACATCTGGAAATGGGGGGTAGCTGGGGTGACTCTGAACAACTTTTTCCTTTTCCAAAATCCAGTTTACAGCTTCGTTTTCGAGTTATTAACGAAAAAAGAAATGTAAAGGG